GAGTGTGAGTATGCTTTCCTGAGATTTGGGGAATGTGAGTATGCTTTCGTGAGATTTGGGGAATGTGAGTATGCTTTCCTGAGATTTGGTGAGTGTGAGTATGCTTTCCTGAGATTTGGGGAATGTGAGTATGCTTTCCTGAGATTTGGTGCCTGTGAGTATGCTTTCCTGAGATTTGGTGCGTGTTAGTATGCTTTCCTGAGATTTGGTGCCTGTGAGTATGCTTTCCTGAGATTTGGTGGGTGTGAGTATGCTTTCCTGAGATTTGGGGAATGTGAGTATGCTTTCCTGAGATTTGGTGCGTGTGGGTATGCTTTCCTGAGATTTGGGGTTATGAGTATGCTTTCCTGAGATTTGGGGTTGTGAGTATGCTTTCCTGAGATTTGGTGCGTGTGAGTATGCTTTCCTGAATGAGTGCCATTTCAAGTTTCAGGGAGGTGACATAAACTGTGACGTCCTGCATTTGCACATCGTAGCCCAAGGAAGGGCTCTTTCCAACCTGGATGTTCTTCAAGGGTTTTATAATATTTAGGTAACCTTGAGAACCATATACTTTTTATTTTAAGTAAGAAGATAAATGTGGGGTCCCATTAAGAATAACACCGTAGAGCACATGTCTTCTTCCTAGGGGATTTAAGCCAACATTTGAAATATTAATAGCAGTCAACGCCTCCACTGTCCTTGCCTGACTCCTAAATGGGTACACTTCTTGACTGGCTTTGTGATGCTTTTAATGACTATGATGTCCCCGACTCTGTGACTTTTACAGTGAAATGAGCTGCACTCCATGTTCTCAAATCAACTAGAATAGCTAAACTTTGACATTTGCCCTTTCTAATCTAATATTTTTATGTAACTTTCTGCAATGCGATCTACACCTTCCTCAAAAGCAAAGGGAAGATTATTTTTAGTAAGAAATATTTTGCGGGGGACCCAATAAGATTCTTATAAGAGCTGATTTTAAATTCAAATGAAGTGACAGAGTAAAATTTGCTCAACTTCTCTTTTAGTGGACATTTGTGATCAATGAACCGGACTTTAGCTGTCCACTATTTAAAGGGGAAAGGATTTGCTAAGTAAACCAATAATCTAAACAGGCTTACAAAGAGCCTGTGTAGCCTGCCTAAGAAAACAAGCTTCAAAAACTACTGTAGTGCTACTCTCTTTGCAACGTGATATGATCATTACAAGGCTCGCTAACAAAAAAGGTCCAGAAGGATTATCTTTGGGCAGAACCTTACCAGATGTTTTAATACTAGTTGAGGACGACAAAATCGCACGTGTGTTTAGTCTCAGACATGGCCTTGCTCGGGTGCTCCGTCCTCCCGCTAGCGCCCTCACCCGGGCGGCCTTCAGGGCGGCCGCCCTGCCTGCGCCCCAGCGCCCTAGTGCTCCACACTCGCTGGCCGCACAGGATGGGGTGTGAAAAGACACAAGCGTGCCCTCCCTCCAGCGAAATTTCTGTTTCTAAAGAGATCTGAAGAAAGGCTTCGAGGAACAAGCCGACCTCCGACCATAGCCTCCCTCAGACTGAAGTTCCCTGGTGTTTGCTCTTTTCTGGGGCTCGATCTCTTCCCTGCAGCTTTGGCCTCCTGAACAGTGTGTGTGTTACTAGTCACATGTCAGATGGGAACAGGTATATACTGAATAATCTCGAATTGCTGAGTAATGCTGTCACAGATCCCAACTTGAATTACTGTGCCCTGCCCTGAAAAGGCCCCTGGGCTCTGGGCGGAGGACACAGGGGGACTCCCTTCAGTGAGCAGCTCCCCGCCAACCCTGACAAATCACACAGCACTTTGGTAAATACCTGCATGATGGCATCAGAGAAGAAGCAGAGGTCAGAAAAGCCAAATTCAAGACGAAACTTAATCCTTCCTCTAAATTACTATGATTCGGAAAACCAATTTAGGCACATGTCCTGTCCTAGAAACAAAAACTGTGATTTTTCTCATCTGTGGGTTGATTGTTACAAATCAAATTCATCATGAGCCCCCAGGGATGGAGGGAAGATTTCATATTCTTTATGTTTTGATGTTGTATTTGGGTTTGGGGAGAAGCAGGCTAAGTCTTTTCTAGGTAGTTGGGCCATCCTGAAGGAAACTTCAGGCGACCCCATTCTTGCAAACTCCATAGCTCCATTAGAGTGGGGAGGAGATGTGAGATCTGTGCCTTCTCCTGAACACGAGGGACACCAGGGTCAGCAGCAGCATCTGCTGGCCTGGATGGTCACTGTCTGATGGCTGTCTGTCTCCCTCGATAGACTGACTCCCAGGGAGCAGGCTCTGTCTCCAGCACCTTGCCACGCGCCAGTGACCAGAAGTGACTGAAAGTCCATTGCATTCGGGGCATGAGGGCAAGAGCCTATGCCTTCGAGAAAGCTGCCATCCTGAAAAAGCAGAATCAATGCCTTCCAAGAAGAAATGGTTTGCAAAGCAAATAATTGCACAAGTGAGACCTTTTTTAAAAATGAGAGATGTGAAAAATGTTGAAACTAGGACTCAAATAGTCTTGAGCATTTTACAATCACCCTTGTTTGTAGCAGCAGGGTGCCCCCAAAATCAAGGGATTTGGAGTTTTAAAAACAAAGATCAGGGTTGAAGGGCAAGACCAGCCACTTTCTTGTACTTCAACTACTTCAACGTTCTCATCTATAAACTGTAGTTGACTATACCTCCCTCACGGGATTGCAAGGATTAAATGAGAAAAGGCACGTTAGAGAGGCTGCTGTAAATATCATCCCAATGGCTGGAACGCTATCGTGTCAGCCTGTTCTACTCATTAGAGCACAGCCTGCAGACACCTGAGCAGGCCAGACTCTGTTAGCTGATCCATTGTCACACACGTGCTGCGAAGGTATTTGCCCATATTGCAAATATTGCATATATCAGATAGTATATAAATGTATGTACATGCATGTTTTCAGTGTACATGTTTGCTGCAAATACTTCAATATAATAAAGACTCTATCTCACTCCACTCTGTCTCACTATGGCCACCACTGTGTGTGGGTAAGGTGTTTTTACTTATGTTCCAAAAGTTGTATCAATGTATTCACTCACTATATTCTTGGGATACCACAGAGATAGTTTCTACTCAGACTTATAAGCTAAATAATTTACGGTTATTCTTTATATCATGGTTGTATCTTTTTATAGTTTACGGATCACCTTTACATGCATCCCCCTCTAAATTAAATCACTGTAAGCTGTTTGCTAATGAGTTTTAAATGACTGAATGAGTAAATGGATGAAAGGATAGATGGATGGATGGTTGAAGTAGTCTGGGCATATATTTTTTCCTTGTTTATAGATGGTGAAATTGAGGTTAAAGGATTTAACTTGATCACTCACCTGACAAATTTCAAACCAGGAGTCCAGGTTTTTTTCCATGATATAAACCTGCCATGATTAAGTTATTTTTTAAAAAATGATTCCTTGGCTGGTGTGATGGTTCATGCCAGTAATCGCAGCATTTTGGGAGGCCAAGGCAGGAAGCTCGCTTGAGACCAGGAATTTGAGACCAGCCTAGATGACATAGCAAGACTCTGTCTCTACAAAAAAATAAATCAGCTGGGTGTGGTGGTGCATGCCTGTAGTCCCCAACTACTCAGGAGGCTGAGGCAGGAGGATCACTTGAGCCCAGGAGTTCGAAGTTGCAGTGAGCTATGATCATGCCACTGCACTCCAGCCTGGGTGACAAAGTGAGACCCTGTCTCTTAAAAGAAAAAAAAGTTTCATGATTTCTTGATATCATCTATTTTGACAGTCCATATGACCACTCTTACAATTATTCATCAGCCTATTTCTCTTTAGTTCTTATTCAAGGTAGATACATATTTTTCTATGTTTTTATTATTTATGCATACTGATATTGCCATATAGTATTTGTTTCATGTTCATTTTGAGGGTCTCATAATAGTCAGAAATTGGAAAGCAAAACCCAGGATTCACAGTGGTTTCTGCTACATTGAACTGAAGATGAAACTCAGAAAAAGGATAGATACAATTGACATTCTCCAGAGTATACATTTTATTTTAAAATCCCCTAACTCAGAGTTTTTGCTGATGCAGACTGACTTTCCCTCGACTTTTCTGCCATCCATGTGCATCTAAACATATTTAAACACGGAAAGGGAAATGCGTTGTGCTGGGACATCGCCAGGTGACAGGAAATTTTTAGTTCTCTTATAATCTCATGGGTCCACCGGTGTATGAGCAGCCAGTCCCTGGCAGGGCGTTGTTACACGTGACCGTGCGTGTGCAGATCTCATGGAATGGTCGACTGAGCCCTGGAGGCCTTCAGCGGGAGGCTGGTGGAGGAGGGTGAGGTGGGAGGCCCGACCAGGGGTGTCAGCTAAGGGCAGTGGAGTCGGACGGACCTGTGAGCATACATGTATTACTCACTCTTCCAGTCTCAGTTTCCTCATCTGAAAATGAAAGCTGTGAGGATTAAATGAGGCACACAATAGGCATCCAATAAAGGCAAGCTCCTGTCTGCGTCCCTCACCCCCCCTTCCGTTCCCTTCCGGCGAGCCCCACCTAGAGACCAGGACCACGAACAAGCCACCTCGCCTCGTCCCTGTGACTGGGCCACAGACCTCCACCAGCATCCGCTTCTGCCTCTTTGCAAACACCACCTCTGTTTACCTCTTATGTCTTTGGATTCTGAACTTTGGGGGGGTTTATACAGCAGTGAGTGCTTAGCAGGTAAACTGAGGCTTGGGTGGGCACAGTCCAGGGCCTTCTCCAGGAGACGGGGAGGTGTCCTCGTGGCGGATCCAAGGAGCCCGCAGTGTGCCAAAGGCCTTGGGGAGACCCAATGGCTCAGGCGCTTCACGTAGGTGTCTCAGGAAATCAAGAATGGCCCGGTCCTCAGAGCCCCCGACAGCTCCAGAGCTCCTAGACCTCAGAAACGGCCGCTGCGGTCTCGGGAGCTGTCCGTGGGATCAGTCTGCACCCTGCCTGGAGGAAAAGAGGTGACTCTCTCATCTCACACCCTCCCCAGCCCCGGGGAAACTGGGGACGGCTGGTGGTTTCTGTCTGCCAAGCTCTTCTTCATAAATCACAGGCTTCTCGGTTTTCTCTGA